AAAAAAAAAAAAAAAAAAGATGAAAAAATAAGTGCAATAGCACAAATCGATGTCCAAAATCTTCACCACCTTCCATCAACAGCAACATGAAGTGATTAGGGTTCCTCATGAAAAGAAAAATGTTCAGAAAATAAGAAAATAGAACAGAAAATGGATAAGAATCGCACGTTTGATCGTCGGAGGCAAGGCAAAACCAGATAGCTGTCGCGAGAAAAGATAGGTCGTATTAGCGCTTTGTAGAAGGTGAATAGTGAATGCTGTTTTACAGGGTTTAGGGCATCTACAACCCTTTCATATTTAACACTTTGTCTTATCCATATTATATTTTCAGTTAATATTTCTCTACTTAACCACATGCCTATATTTCTATCCATTAATTTAAATACTTGTATAGAACCTACTATACACATTCAATGATTAAATAATTACATGAAAATAAAAAAGAAAACAAAAAAATAAAAAATAAAAAAAAAAAATAAAAAAGGCACATTAATGGATGCCCACATTTGTTTGAACAGCCAGCTGCCACTTAAATGGTAAATTGATGTCCCGTTGTGAATGTTCTTATACAATGACCTTTGACAACATCACCGAAATTACCAATTTGCCCTCATAAGTCTCTCTTATCTCTCTTGTTGTATATGATATGAAGGTATAAAAGCTGTTATACGACGATAAGTGACGACTTTTTTCCTTGACATTTGCATTTAATTGAGCAATTACTTGAATGCCCATTGATAGGTCACCAAAGGTTACGATCGGTTTGAACACTTTTCACTTTGAGCAATCGTCTTCCCTTGAGCTTCTGATAACCTGCAATACGCTTGGAGGGGGGTTTTGGTGGAAAAATTGTCGACGCTCAAGTCATAACTAGCCCAACTGTGAATACAAATATGTGAAATAAGTGTGGTTTGTGTGTTGCCTAAATCGAGAGAACTTGTTGTCCCTATATAGGACTTGAAACCTTCGAACCGAAGAGAGTTCTTGTTATGTAATAGATCTATTGTGATTCTAATTTCCTAACTTACCATACCTCTGTCTTGCCATGAGTCCGACGCGAGTAATTTTTTTCTTCTTACTTGGATTCTTCCACTATTTACTGTTTCAGCCAGGGGTACTTAGGTCGTAGGTCCGACCTCCCATCATGTCTGTTATTGCCCTTCTGAGGACGCAATCGACCTTGCCCTTAGGTCATATTCGACCTCATTTTAGGCTAACTTTGTCCCCAGGCTACTCGAACTCAATGCATACCAAGGTCGGCTATCTGACCAGGCTCTTAGAGGCCAGTACCTCCAGGTCGTGCCTGTTTTGTCAGCTCGGCACCCTTGACTCATATCCAAGCTACTTGGTCGAGCGTTTAATCTCTTCATTATTCCAGAGTTCTTCTAGCTCGTCATAGCCGAGCTACTTTCTCATACCGACGTACCGAGTTGTTTTCTGGGTGCTACATCATCTAACCCTCTTCCCCCCACCACCCCCCCAATTTCAAGACAAGTTATCCGGACTTGTGCTGAAATGGGATTAGATGCCTAAACCTGACACCTTCTCATGTTCGATGTACCAAAAAACCCAGCGAGTGCATGAGGCGCCAAGAAGATACTTTGTTCATGTTGAGATTTCAGTTTTGGACATGTACACTGCATCATTGGATGCATCAAACCGAATTCATGGGGGATTTGAAACTTGTATCCCACCAACAGTCCCATTTTTTTCAGCGGTAACTTATCTCCATCCTCTAAGTAGACCTCTTTCACCATTTTGCGACTTACTCATCTTTACATACTCAATTTTCTTGTGAAAAAATCTCTATTTCCGTTCCACATCTATGGCGACCTTCTCCCGACAACACCTTCGAGATTTTTCCTCATTCTTCTTGCTCATAAGGGTATGTCACTCCTTAAATCTTTTGCACTTTTACTTCTTTTATTCTTCTTGGAGCTCTACCAAAAAAAAAAAAAAAAAAGAACCTAGCCTTGTTCTTCCTTACCCTCTGATACACAAACCAACATGTCTTATGATACATTGATTGCTTCTTCCACGGAGCGACAACCTGCCCAGATTGATCGCCCACTTCATTTAAGATACTGTCAATTTAACTCTCTTTCTTTTTGGACCCTTGACCGAATCGACAGATTGATCGCCCACTTCATTTTTTTGGACCCCTGACCGAATCGACACCCTCAGTCCTATGTCCGAGCTTCAATTCCCCTGGGAAATGGATTTCCAAGGCTGGGAAAACCTTCGAGCAGCCCCCCGTTGGCTACTATTAGTATTTTTTTTTAGGGACCAGGTGGTCGTTGGTTTAACCTTCCCTCATAGGAGGGACCTGATAGAGTTAGCCCAGTTCAACCAGGCTCCTTTGAACCATTTCACCCCAAACTCTATATGCTTCATGGTAGGGTTCGTGATTTTGAGTCGGTACTTCTTGAAGAGGCTTGATAGTGAATTTTTCTTTTATTGCCACTGATTGAAACTAGTGGGACAATTATTTTATCTCTCACATGAGCATAGTGTTTCTTTCTTGAAGGATCCTACCACCAAAACACCCCACTAAAGACGAAATTCTTTTTTGTCCAACTTTCTCACAATGCTTTCTATTTTCATTCCATATATATTTTTGAAAACCTTTCCAATGCAAAAAACCATGATGGAATCTGCAGTAAGGCGATTTGATCTCTCTTTGAAATGGGACCCCCCATGACCTGAACTGTTTGACCAACGACGCTCAACTGTGGTCGGTGTTCGGTCTTTCTGTCCTTCAGCATTGTCTCTTTGACTTGGGTAGCTTTCTTGTTTACTCTTCTTTCATATTGTATTGTCTTTATAATTTTGTGAACGTTTTAATTGTTGTATTGGAGACGCAACCCTGAACGGCTCCGTTAGATTCTACTTCAGCGAGCTGACAGACTGACCATCGCCCCGTCACAACCGGAGCTACCACGGAGGGTGGTACAAGCAAGGTCAGAGTCACTGCAATTATGGCGACGATCGATGGTGAGGCCGGAACTACTTCTCTGGTAGCCCTTACTTATTCAGTTTAAATCATTTCAGCGGGCGAAGAGCTCGAACAGGCGATTCTTCGAGGAAGAGGACCCATACCAGCAAACCTGCCGATGAACTCGAAGAAACGAAAAGCGTAGAGCAACCTGCGAGGTTTGCCATTTCAAAGAAAGTGACCAAACATGCGGCATACATGGTGAACATTTTTTCACCCTCAGAGACCGAATGCTGGTGGGGTGCTCGAGCTGCTCGGGCTGGCTACGTCCTGAATCACACCATTCATGTACTTTGTTTCCTTTCTTCTTTTCCCTTTATGTTTATACTTTGTATCTTCTAAGCACATCTTTTGTTTTATTATTCCTTAACTTCTTCAGGCCTTAGCCAGGCAGGCCCCTATGTTGAGTGAGGAGTTATCAGGGGAGCATTCACTCTAGGTACTTGTTAGCATCCATATCTATTAGTGCAACTTTGATTTCCTCCTATTCCACTGGTCTTGTAAGCTGAGTATTCATTTTCTCTAAAATTAGTACAAAGATCCCATTAAGATTGTAGTTATCCACTTGAGGATTTGAAATTCTGAACAAGTTTTCAAAATAAGATTGAACCTCATCCAAAATTTCCTGATTATTAGACAAAATTGACCCATCTGAAGTAGATATATCTTTTCAAGTTATTTTGCATTCTTCTTTGTTTAACAACGGCCTGCAAAAATTTATTGCTTCTATCCCCTGCACTAAGTCGAGACACCCTAGACTTAAAATTCCAAAACAATTCTTCCTCAAGATAAGCCTTATTCAAAATATCCTTGCAGTTATCCCAGTCTTTCCAATCCCTAAACCCTCATTACACACCTAAGTCACTAAGCTTTGCCTTACACTTTTTGATTAGTTCAGCAGAGTTGGAGTTCTTATCCGACGTCCACTTGATGAAGGTCATTATAAAATTCCTTATTCTTTTTTGTAGACTCAAAAGAGCAGGACCTTCAAGATCTAAGTTCCAGGATTTTTCTACAACATTCTCATAGCCCTATCAATTTACCCATCTAGAATAAAAAAACAAATCTTTTTCCCCCCTCTCTCCCAGCAGGATTATGAACAAGCATGATCATATTGTTGTGTGAAGATGATAGAGAGATATTTTTAACTACAACATTGGAAGACTAGACTGGCCACAAAGGAAACAGAAAGAATCTATCAAGCTTTTCCTCTATAAACTCAAACCCCCTCATATTGTTTGACCAAGTGAAGAGATATCTCAATACCCTTGGTTCTACCCCACTCAGACTACTTACAAAGTTTCTAAAGCTAGTGAAGCTAGACTCGTCTCTCCTCCACCTCTCTTATTCTGATTTGAGAGAAGATCATTGAAATCTCCACCAATAAACCATAAGTCCCCTTATGCAATCATAAGACGGATAAGAAAACTTCATTTCAACTGCCTAAAAGCGTGATCAACACTAGAGGATCAGTGCAAGAACAAACCACCCGTAGTACCAACAGGATCTTAAAAAAACCATATGCCATCAAGCCTAAGCTTATTGCTAACAGTTGAGACAAAACATTTTTTCTTTGTTGTTTAAGAAAAGAAAATTAAATCAAGGAAGTGAGATCTCAAAATCTCCCTGATTGGAAAAATTGTAGAGAGTCTTCTCAAACCTCTATAATTCCACACACATACTTTCATTGGGTG